GCATACTCAGGCATCTTAATACTATATTCCAATTAAATAACTGTTTTAACTTCAATAATTACCATGATTTATATATATTATTTTTTATTTATAACAATTAATTTTTTTTTTCTAGCTTCATGGGGCCAAAAACTGCTAATTTTGAATTTTCACTAGTAGGAATTGACTCTAATACAGAGTGTAGAAATGGACATATTTTTGTCTTATAAAACATCTCAACAAGTCACTAAACATTTTAAGATAGAAACAAGTAAAAATCAGGTTTGGAGTCTCATAAATAAATCATTAAACTGGGCAAAAAATTTTAACAGGCCTGAGGACAGTAAGCGTTTTGTTGACTTCAAGTTTACCTAACATTGTATTATCATCAGGCTCCTCGGATGTTTCATATGCCAATATGAATGTTTTATCTCATTTAACTAGTGGACTGTCAACATCTGTAGGTTATAGCGAACGAGATTGAACTAAACATATATTTAGAGAGAAATTAAGCCCTATAAAACAAAAACTAAAAGGTAGGTTATCTTACTTGTCTTCTCGGTTAACTAACTCTTACAAAGAACGTCGGAGCAAGATTAATTAAAGCATGCCAAAACAATTACGTGTTCTAAGACTAAATGCTAAAAGAAAAGAAAAAATAATTAAAGCTTTAATGGCAGAAATACGAAATCTTAAAAAACTCACACACAAAAAAAAGCAGATTTATCACTTTAAAGTTGAAAAAAAAACTTTGAAATTATATGAAAAGCATAAGTTAAGGCAACTCAAAACTATACATAATGCCGCTGTTTTGACAAGTAACAGGGTAATTGCTAGTTTGGAGAATGATTTTCTCCAGATTGAGGAGGAAAGAAATGTAATTATGCCAGAAGATTATAAAACATATTCATTACAAATAAGAATGATAATTTATAATATGTTGTTGTGTAATGTACCAACAGATAACATTCCATATCTTATGAGCAAAATAGGGCATTATATGGGTGTTGTTTTGAATAATATTCCTCATCGAAGTACTGTTGAGCAAATGGCTCGTGAACTTGGCAGTATTTCAAATTTGCAAGCAGCAGAGTGGGCTATGCATAATAGTAATCTTACTCTTGGGTTTGATGCTACAACATAAGAAAGTATCCACATTAATAGCATTTGTAAAAGTAGCTTTAATGAATGTCGTAATTTGATTATTGTAAATATATTTAACACAATGTCAGACAGAGTTGCAGTCAACCATCTTACAATAAGCAAAGTTGTGCAACATGGGGCAAGAATTTGAATGAGCTGAACTGCCATGTGCACCCTCTTGACATTGTGACACAAATGCAGTTTCATATCGCTCAGCGTTACAGTCTCTTGAGAGTGAGAGCTGTCAATTATTTGTAAATGATTGTATGGCAGTTAAAATTGTTTTAGCCATGAACAAAATGATGTTTATAGGCATCAAAGGTGATCCAAAAGGATTTGTAAATTTTTTGAATTAAAACAATCTACCACGAAGTATTATTCCTAGATATTGTGGAAATAGGCTTCATATTCTTTTTCATACTTATTTCATTTTTATGAAGCATTACAGTGAGTTTAAACATTTCTTCACTGTTGCAACAGTAAAATGTAAAAGTTTGCAAACAGTTTTGAGAGACATTTTGTAATAAAACTGCCATAAAAGAAATGTGCGTGCTTGCATTGTTTGGAAAACTCCTTACTGGGCCTTGGATGAAAAAGTTTTATGTTTCAGCTGAGGATGCAACTTTTGACCATGTTTCTGGTATTCAGGTAGTGAAAAAAGTTTTGCTAATAATTGCAAATTGTAAATCTAAAAATTATTGGTAGGAAGCTCTGCCATCAATTATGTCATGCTGACACATCCAAATTTGTGATGTATGATGGTAGAGTAAAAAATCAAGTAAAAGACAAAAAGATATAATTTATAGTAAATACTGAAAAGATAATGAAACTGAAATTGAAGCTGTTGATTATCTTTCGAAAAAGTTCCGGCTTGCTGCAGATGTCATTACAGGAGAGTTGATAATTTCTTGATTAAATGTTTACGTTTGTTACAAAATTTGTTACAAACATTATTTAAATAATTATTTAAATACACCATGTTACTTGCTTACAATGTTTATGCTTCATTTGATAGTGTTTATGCCTTAAGAAATTATAGGCAATGATAGGCATCGTATTGGTTCAGACTACCCTAATTGTTTTGTTTGTGTCATGGAACTTTGACATGTATTTTTTAAAAATTTTACATGTTGTGGAATGTTGACATCATTTACTTATACCTTGGTTATAATGACATAATAAATAGCCATTAGTGAGTATGGTATAAGCCTTTAGGGTTACCTTATACATCTTTACTAGATTTATGAGATATAACTTAAATAAAATTAAATATCTATATAAAATCAGTGAATGCTCAATATACATAATTGCTTGCAAGTATTATGGTGTTAGTAATGATACAAATCACATGAGTGCATTTTTTTTTTCTTTTTTTTTCTTTTTTTTTCTTTAGTTGGTAGCACTGATCTCAAAATAATAACTAGATTGCGTATTCTATTGTTTTTCGTAAAAAAAGTTGATGGCGTTGGTAAGAACTGTTAGCGGTTTGAACCGTACAAAAATTCTGACCGAATAAGAAAAGCAAACTATTTTTAAGGGAAATAAGATGGCGAAATAAAGTTATTTGATTCCTAATTATTAAAATATTCAGCTAGTATACACTTTTTAAATGAGGTTTATAATTTATGTACCTTTTTAGTTCTTAATTACCCAATGCTGTGTGCTAGAAGGTTAATAACACAACTGAATGGTAAGCAGCAATATTGTCTACCTACAATCTTTAAAGAATTTTACAATCATGAGTTTTGTAGGTAGAAACATTATTGTACAAATGCTGTATGAACTATTAGCTGAGGACTGTGAGTACACACAACTCAGAGGTTCCTTCTAGGATTATAAAAGTCATTTTATTATTTAATACATTAACTTTGGACCCATTAATTAGTAAAAATATAAAACAATAGTTATATTCTTAAGTAAACAATAATCTCTCAATGACTTAGATTTAAAGTCATTGTCAAACTCAACTGTGAATATTTATTCCTCAAAGTTTGAAGGATAATTATTGACAGTTTAACACATTCTTAGTATGTAAAGATGTAACAAGTATGTTACATGTATACATATTATGTAAAAGTATATTTTTAAATAATGTATTTTTATTAGATTATTTATTCAACATTACAATAAAAAATTACTTTTACATAGTTATATTACAACCACTGATCTCAAAATGATAACATTTTGAGGTGTTACAGCACTATTATTTATTTAAGTGTTTATTTTATATTATTACTATGCAGCATCTTTGGATGCAAAAATAATACTGGATCAAAAAACAGTGATCACAATTCAAAAGAAAAGTTTTCATTTCACAAGTCGGTGAAATGAAATGAAATGTTCTATTTTTATTAAGAATAAAGTCTCTAGAGGAGGTTTGGTTAAAGTGTTGTTTTGGTATGCGAAGGAACAGAAAGATGTTTCCAAAGGTTTCTTGCATCTAGTAACCTGTCTATTTCTGTCATTTCTAATGATATAGAAGTTAAAAATGCAATTGCAAGTGCTGTTTTGAGATCAGTTGGTTTATCAAAAGTATTCACAGAACTAACTCATCATATACTTGATTCGGCTTTAACTGATAAGCATTTATTTTCACTGATTAAAATTATTTCAGAAAATTACTCAAAAATACACTTTCATCACCTATGCAAAGAAGTAACTAACAAATTGACTGGAACAAAGTTTAGGAAGCAGTTGATTAAATTTGTCTTATTTAAGAATCAATGAAAACATTTATTTTTATTATACCATATATACACAGTAAACTCCTGATAACTCAAACCTTTAAAAAATTGAACTTCCATTATTTGCTCGGACACTTAAAGGTTACGAGTTATCAGGAGTTATATATATATATATATATATATATATATATATATATATATATATATATATATATATATATATATATATATATATATATATATATATATATATATATAGCTATGCGAATTTCACAACTTTAAGTTTCATGCTGATGCAATCATCAGGTAAAATAAAAAAGAAAGATATTTCACCTGATGATTGCAACACATAGTATTATTTTCTACTATATTATAGCTCTGTTCACCAAGCACCTTCTTGATGGTATATGCACAAAACAGCTATCACATATGTATATATATATATATATATATATATATATATATATATATATATATATATATATATATATATATATATATATTTATATATATATATATATTCATATATATATATATATATATATATATATATATATATATATATATATATATATATATATATATATATATATATATATAATATACATTTATATATAGTATATTTATGTGTGTGTGTATATAGTTAGTATATTTATTTTAAAAATCTAATAAAATTAAAATAAAATAATTAATGATAACAAACTCTAGAAGGAACCTCTGAGTTGTGTGTACTCACAGAGCTCAGCTAATAGTTCATGCAGCAGATGTACATTACAAGTATCTGTTTAAAACAAATTTTTAGACTGATTTATATTAAACAGATACTAAGCTGCCTATCATGCAGTTGTTTTATTAACCTTCTAGCACACTACATAAGATAACTAAGAACTAAAAGGTACATAAATTGGTTATTAAATTTTTTGGAAGGATTTTATTTATCTTATAAAATATATTCGCATATTCATAAAAAAATATAAATATCGCATAATATAAATTTTTATTATCTTTATATATATATATATATATATATATATATATATATATATATATATATATATATATATATATATATATATATATATATATACCTACTTTTATTTTTAAAAATTATGTTTTTTCTTAAAAAAGAAATTTATTTGTGTTTAAAATTATATCTTTATCGATTACGCTAAAGATTTTTTGATTTTTCATAAGGTACTTCTATAACTGTTAGCAAACTACACCGCCATCTTGGTAGGCCAAAACTGGCTTCAAAAATTTTTCTGAATGCGCTATCCACTTATTATTTTGAGATCAGTGGTTGGTAAGCATGACTTGGCTTCCATTTGTGGCATGTAAGTTAGTTAGCATAAGCTAGTGTTGACTTGCACTTTTTTTGATAGATCCCGACGGGCATTTGTTTTTAAAAGTTACATTCTAAATGTCTTTTAAATGTCTTTTAAACGTCTTCTAAACGTCTTCTAAACATTCTTACGCAAAAAACGTTTAAAAGACATTTAAAATACATTTAGAACGTAACTTTTAAAAACAAATGTCCGTCGGGATGGCTCTGGCTTACCTTAACGTGGTGTCTATTGTTAAAAATGATTATTATATCGTTTCATTAATGGAATTTAGTATTTTAATCATTTACTAAGCCAATTATTATTATTCTATTCCAGTTTTTTAGTAATGACTAGGTGTTCTGCTTTTCAGTAGCCTGATTTTTTCCATTCTCTTTAGTTTTATTTCAAAAAGCATAATAAAATAACTTTTTTTGGATGTCTTTTTTTATCGTTTTGTTTTAATTGATACAATAGGCCTGTGAATGTTACTTTTTTTAAATTTGAAAATATTCATAATTTTTTGTTCTGGTAATTTTTTTTATTTTTTAGACTTCCCAGCAAACATTGTTCAAGTGGATATGCTGTGGACTTATACAGGCATTTTTTAGTGGTTTAATGAAGTTTTGCTCATCAGTTAAATAGTGGACCATTAGTTGCAGCTGCTATAAATGGCAAGCCGATAATTTTCCGACATGTTAATAGTGGCTAGTCATTGGCTAGTCATTTTTTGCGGCTGCCACTAATGGTTCACAAGTAGCCAATGAGCAAAACTAAAATGGTACACTCAAAATGCCTACATAGGTCCACTAAAATTTTGCAATCGAATGTTAGAGAATATTTGATAATGATAACACCTTTTTCAATAGTTCTAATTTCTATTACCCAATTGCTTTTTTTTTTTTAAAAACATCACATTTAAAAAATGGAAATCAATTAACCTGTTTATTTATGGTAACCTTTTGTGATATTGAAGTAAATTCTATTAATTGAAAAGTTAACTATAAAATCTGTTTCTAAGATCAAAAGCAATAATAGTACTAAAGATAAAATTAAATTAAGACATAAATTGGATTTATTGCAAAATGTTGTCTTGGCTTTTAGTCAATGATTTAAAGGAGTAAGTCTCTGTAATAAAAGTACCTGTTATTCATTTTTATTGATAGTCACCAATGGGAAGGTAAGCCAAGCTGTCTATTAACACAAATCACAAAAACAACATCACAACAATAACACACAAAAATAAGACATATATGTAAAGGCATTTTGTAAGTACACAACTAGGCTGGCAAGCCTAACAACCTAACATCCAGTTTGATTATTCTCTTAAAAATATACCCACAACGGGAAAAACAAAATACAATATGAAATTAGTAGAAAAAATAAAAAGTTTCATAAAAAGAATTCGTTGGAAAACTTATTTCTTTTTAAAAAACGAGCAAAACAATGAAACAAACGAAAATTACGGTTTCAAATCAAAACTAACACCCCCTCAATGTACCGAAACAGATATATATATATATATATATATATATATATATATATATATATATATATATATATATATATATATATATATATAGGTATGCGGAAATAGCCGTCTTACGGAACCGAATTTTGTGCTAAAATTGAACTTTTTTTGAGGTAGTGTCAGACAAACGTTTTGTTGTGGTCTTTTTAGAAAAGTATATCAACATAGATTATTTTTGAAAAGAAGAGACTTGGTTCTATATTTTATCTATCAATTATGTATGGATAATATTTTTTTTGTTGACTTTATAGATATTGAAAATTTACTTGATGTTGTCACATGAAATTTGTATTGATATAATGCTGAGACATTTTGTAAAACTACTGAGACATTTTTTTACATCTATTTTTTATTCACCTGCCAAATTTCAAGAAAAATATTATGTAGCAGATAATTTAAAAAGTGTAGCAGTTTTGGTACCTAAATTTTGTTTTCACAAATTCGCAATGAATGTTGTTGTGATTGGGGGAGAAAGTTGGAATCTACATACTATGTATATAACATACTATGTATATAAGATGTAAGACGGATATTTCCGCATACCTATATATATATATCTATATCTATATATATATATCTATATCTATATATATATATATATATATATATATATATATATATATATATATATATATATATATATATATATATATATATATATATATATATATATTACATATATATATATATATATATATATATATATATATATATATATATATATATATATATTACATATATATATATATATATATATATATATATATATATATATATATATATATATATATATATATATATATATATATATATATATATATATATATATATATATATATATATATATAATATAAATATATATATATATATATATTTATATAATATATATATAGATACTATATATATACATACAAGGGTTGAATTAAGGCATCGCGATTTGGGATATCTGTTAAATTATCTGGTCTTCAAAGTTTCAGTTTATGGAAAACCACGAAATTTACGGAATAGGCGAATAAACTTTAATTTGTTAGTGAAAATGTTATGAAAAACAAAACAATAAATTTATGACTACAAAAGTAATAAAACTAAAGTGTTGTTACTTTTATAATTTACAAATACATATTTTTATAAACAGTTTAGCATTTCTAAACATCTTACTAACGATCCGGAAAAAACGCGCGTTCACTTTAAAATCAACCAATGAAAACACTGGTAATTTACTTCTTAGGAGAAATCTATATTAAAAGGGGAGGGGGGGGGGCAGGAGGCTATAAACTTAAATTTCGTTTTATTATTTAATCAATTAAATCATAATAAAAGTAAAGACAAAAAAATATATTTCTAAATATACTTCTTTATAACTAAAATTAATTAAATTAAACACCTCTGTTTTTAGTTTTAAGTTAATGTCAGTACTACTCTCAGTGGCGAAACTGCGGGGGGAGGAAGTAGCAGAGAAAAAGTGTCCTATTTTTAAGCTAATTTTAGGTTGCATGGGCGATGTGGGGCTCATTTTGAAAATCGTGCGGGGGAGGGGGATTTCGCTACTGACTACTCTAATGTGCTTAATACAAAGGTAGATGGGGGTGGGAATTTTAGTCCGGATGTATAAAATGGGAGGAGGAAATAATAAAAAAAAGGGGGAGGATTTACAATGAAAATTTTATTATTTATCGGTTACCAATATATGTATTTGTAAAAGTTGCTAAGGATTATAACATTGTTTAAATATCCGTTGTATTTTTTCTAGATGCATTGCTACTTTAATTAAAGTTTGGAATTGCTTAACTAAATCATTTTTATTTATAAATAGCTTAATTATGTGTTGTTTGATTAAACATCAAACTATAAATGTAACTTAAAAGAGTGTTATAAAAGTAACAACACTGTAGTGTTATTACTTTTGTAGTCATAAATTTATTGTTTTGTTTTTCATAACATTTTTACTAACAAATTAAAGTTTATTCGCCTATTCCGTAAATTTCGTGGTTTTCCATAAACTTAAACTTTGAAGACCAGATAATTTAACATATATCGCAAATCGCGATGCCTTAATTCAACTCTTGACATATACATATATTATATATATACATAAATTATGATTGTATATATACATTTGACTATATATATACATATACATATATTATATATATACATAAATTATGATTGAATAATAAAAATAAAACCGTGAAATTAATAAAATAGCGACAACAGTAATAATAATACTGTCATTATTATTATTGTTGTCGTTATTTTATTAATTTCATGGTTTTATTTTTATTATTCAATCATAATTTATGTATATAATATTATGTACACAATATTATGGTTTAAATATTCTTTTAGATAAAAAGCAGATATTTGTTTAACAATCATTGTTAATCTCATCAATCAATCGATTGCTTTTTGTAAACAAAAAATTAATTTTTGTAAACAAAACAATCTCAGAAAGGTTTTGAAAATCTTTGGATATCATTATATCTAGAAAAGTATTTATGTCTTTAATTGTGACATTTATATTAAAATTTTTTTGTATAATTTTTGTAGTTTTATTTTTATGTTTCAAGCAAGGAATTTAAAAAAATATATCTTTATAATTCCTGTTATTTCTGAAACTGAAAAGTGTTATCCTTTAAACATTAGGATAATAATTTTAGCATGTTGTCAAATGTGCCAACAGGTAACATTCCATTTTTTTTTGAGAAAATTACACAGTATTTTAGTGTGGTTATTAATAACATCACAGTACTGTTGAGCAAATGGCTCATGATTTAGGAAGTATATCAGAATTACAAGCACCAGAATGGGCTATCAGTAATTCTCAGCTTACTCTTGGATTTAATGCAACAACACAAGAAGGTGTTCATATAAATAGTGCTCACATTATATCCAAAGATAAATGCCTTGTTGTTGCTCTGAATTAATGCCCAAAACGAACAGCTGATGATTACAAAAATCATATTTGCAGGGCAGTTTTATGTATCAAGTGAGGATGCAAATTTTGATCATCTCACCGGTATTTAGATCGTAAAAAAACGTTTTGCAAACAGTTAATGTTTGCAAATCTAATCTAGCTGCACTGTTTTGCAGAGCAACATATTTTTTTGGGGAAATGCTTCCCGCAAACGTTTTTGAACCAATAACAATTTAATGCTGCATTGATAACCAGGTTATCAACATGACTTCAGCTTGTCTTAATGCAGTAAAGGATGTATTGATTAGACAATGTAAAAGGTACTTCTCCCTTTCCATTACAGAGACACTCAAGCAAGAAACAGCTAGTGCAAGGTTTCACAATATAGATAGGAAAGAGTTAATTGGCATGTTTAGTGAATCTAAAGGAAGATCCCCTAATGCAATAATTTTATAATAATCTTTATTCTTGCAAATTATTATAATAATCTATATTCAATTTTATAATAATCTATACTGCAAAATATGATGAAAAAAGAGACTATTTATTATCTAGATAGTTTAGATT